CTTTAATCGTTTAGGAGCTAGAGGAGGTGGATATATTCAAAACAATTGCAAAAAGTCAAGTTTTAAGACTGTTTGAAAAACAATATACAATCTACATTATACAATCTGCGCGGGTTCCTTTTTTTTGAATTCTTAAGCAAAGCAGAAGGGTGGGGTGTAGTCACGGTGTTGCCCCGTTACAGTCTTTTGTCATGTCCAAGGAGCAAATTCCTAGGGCCGCAGGCCCCCCACCGGACGCGTAAGTTTACTCAAATATGCAAAGTGATTTACCGGTCAAATTATTTATTTGATTATGCACTTCTGTAAATCGCTAGACTAAAATGGTCGGGCCGAAGGCCGAAGGCCCGACCATGGCCGCTAGCGGGCCAAGCAGGCCCGGCCCCTGCCGAACGGAGTTGCCGGCGCAGCGAAGTGGAGCTGGCATCTCCGTTTGGCGGAAGGGCGGGCCTGCTTGTTATTAACCTGCCACTGCCCCCTTAATTACACATATTTATATGACGCGCCTTTCTTCATCATATGTACTTGCAATCTGTTCGCCTACGAACTTCTGTTTGAGTAGAACTCGAACATTTCGAATCCGAACACTTCATGTTCGTGTTCGAGCGATCACGAACATCTCGATGTACGTTCGAGTTCGATCGAATGCGAACATGTTCGTTCATCTCTAAAACAGAAACGGGAGCGGTTGCATAAGTCCGCTTAAATCCTTTTTTAAAAGCAGAAGGGCGGGATAAAAAATGTTAACAATTTTTGTTCACTTAGAAACGAACCCAAAGTCGGGGAAATTTAGTTGCTATACATGTTATACGATTTTTTAAGGCACTTAAAGCATTCTTTAGCCGAGGGGGAAATAACTTGCGTGCTAACTCGTACACCCAGGCCTGTACGAACTTGTACTAAAGTCGTAATAACGCGTTTAAATGGTAAAAATCAAGCGTAGTAGAGCTGTTTTTACAAAATTTTGTAAAAGTTTTGAAAAATTGCACTAAAAATAGGATCTACTAACGTGTACCAACGTTGTAACTCGTACACTTTCGTCTGGAGTGATCTCCCACTCGTCTTTAAACTGTTGATGTGTCTTTTCCGTGTTGTCTTTCCGCATATTGGCCATTGGGCCCCTTGTTTTATAACTTCGCACAATTTCTCGCGTGGGCGGCGCATAGCGTGTTCGTGCATTATAGACTCCTCGTTTCAAATTGTTCACAACTTTCACGAGGGCAGCGGCGCGCGCACGGAGCAGACTACTTGATAGAGCAGGTTTGTTCATTGTTTGGCTACCCAATGGCGGCTAAAAATGCAACAGGTGCTGTAAAAACGTCAAGCTCCCCCCGGCCCCCTTCTCTCTGGCGGCGTGGTGTCTAGTAGAAACGGAGCCATTTAACAGTGTCGTACACAAGAATCTGACTATACTTTCCTATGCACTCGTCTCGCGTTGTTCCGTTATCTGTTGCAGTTACAAGAAGTGTCCTCCTCGACAACGACGACGGTTTCTGAACAATACCTTGGTCAACCAGTTTACACCTGCCACTGCCACTCCTCCCATCCTCCCTACCGACCCCTATCCTGCTCGCACCTCGTCCCATATTCTTCGCTATCGCAGTACGCGTGCAGCTGTACTCCGATGTGCGTGCCAGTGCGGCCGCAACATGCATGTTTAACGTGTGCGTGCGGCGGGCGTGCACCGGAGCGTGACGGGCGACTGTCTCCGCCGATCCGCAGTACGGCGAAATCGTGCGGGGAGAGTGCGGCAGTAGCTGCTCTGTTCGAGTACTGGAATGGTGGTCACTGACTTGCACGACTCGCAGGGGTGTAGCGGGCCCATTAGGTCTCCCCACCGAGTGGCGAGGGTAAGAACATCGGACTACACCCTAACAGTAAACAACCAATCCGATCAGAAAATCAGTAGAAGTAGGTAGTGTTTTTCAATGGAGCTTTGCCCAGGACTAATAAGAACTAAACCGGACACTGAGAGCTGGGCGGGCGCGCGGAGGAGCAGCGGGTGGAGGGGAGGGGACCCTCTCCGACCGCCCTCTGCTCCTCCGCGCGCCCGCCCCCACCACAGCTATCTCTCTGCATCCGGTTCTGTTCCTCTTAGTTCCGGGCAGCACTCCATTGCATACGCTGTTGTTTGCGGCTGTTTAAGGGTATGAATAGACATGAAAATGCAGGCCTTAATGGCGCACCGATGTGCATCCCCCCCTTCGGCTTGATTGTGCTGGAGAGCGCGCTTATGCAGCCGCTACAGAGTGCGTCCGTCTGTCGATCCTCCGTGCAACAGGAAGAAGTTAAGGGGTGACAATACTGAAAGTTATGATGATTACGTAAAAAAAACATCTCTTTGGAACTTTGTGTGGGAAACTACTATACAGGCCACTTGGAATTTTATTGTGTTATTTTTTTACTTGGTCTTATGAACAGTATGTGGCATTCAATGTACCAATTGACCTCTTTTTAACTATGCTTTTAAGAGCTTAAAGTACTAGACCAGGTTCTAATTTTTTAATTCTCCAAAAACTTCCTTGCGTTACAAATTTAAAGTCACGGAGGTGGTCATTTGAGGTTTTACGTTTTGACTGATGCTACAAGGTCTATAAGCCAGGATTGATGATTTCTTTTAGTTTCTATCTAAAATGAATTATAAGAGCTATATTTTGGGTTTATTTTAAACTTTTAAAATTTTTCAACAGGTCCAAATTAGAAAAACTAAAATCAGACATAATATTTCAACTCTTGCTCAGGGAAGCTGTTCCTTCATCTTTTCTGATTTCAAAAACATTTACCTGAGCCTTTTACGTTCAATTTTGTAACGAAAGGAATCTTTATAGTAAAAGATCTTGCAAACTTATACCAATAACTTTATCTTTTAAGCGGTTCAATTTTCAGACCCCATACAATGTTTTTTAAAAGTTTGTCATCGAACTGAACATAAAAATAACATTCCGAACGGTGCTTCTTATTGAATTATGGAGATGTCAATTTCAGTATAGTCTTCCCTTAACTAGAGGTCGAAAATTATCAGGGCACAGGTCATCGTTGCAAAACTGAATTTTCTTTACGTATTAATTTGGTCTACAGAACGAAATTTTTTCGATCTGGTGAACTCGCGATAGCATGAGTCTTTCTCTTCGTTAAACTTCATGCCTTTTCACTTAAAACGTACGAAATTTTCGGTCAGTGAGTCCTCACGGGAACAAGCAGGCCCGCCCTTCCGCCAAACGGAGTTGCCAGCTCCACTTCGCTGCGCCGG